GCTTTTATCAGAATGCTTGTTACCTGTCTACTTTGAATTGCATTGCCAACCTGCACGATGTGCGCCGGTGGAATTCCTGGTCGCGTACTGTGCAACAATTGCTCAGAACATGGTGCTGATGACTTGAGTCCTTTTGAGGGCTCCGCCCACAGGGTAATCGCCAACTAAATGACTGTTGGGGAATTCAACTGGTACTTGAGGCTGCTTTTCCTTACCACGGGGCAACATTTAACTGCGTGTCGGACCCATCAAGTCCAGCTGCATCATAAAACGGACGTCTTGGCCACAGTGCACATAGTACACAAGCATTGTATTCAGATTTCAACATCGGCGCCTTTAAAAGCCTGAACTATGCTATGGCAATCCACCATAGTTGATAGAACTAATCTCGCACTTAACCTCGGCTTTGTGACCATATCTAAAGAGACCATTCTCCAAGTGCTCATCTCAACTTTGACATTGCGAGCATTGTTGTCGTCGTACATAACTGGTTTTGCTATCTAGAGTGTTACTGTTCAGTCTGAGCACTCACAGTAGATGATTTGAAGTCTTCTTCCGACGAACATAAATGCTTTTTCTGAAAAGAGGGAAATCCTCTCTTACAGAGACCGTTAAATGCCCCTACATACTTGTTCACAGACATGTCCTCCTCAGAACCTACCTTCGGTCTTCTGACGCTCTTTTCGCATTCGGTTGGGTCAATCGGGAAAATGTCCTTTTAAAGTTTGACCAAACATTTCATAGTGACTTAATCCAACGCAGATTTAGGAGTTTTAAGCGGACTTTTAGAGGGAAGGTTTGACTGGGAAAAAGGTGTGAGTGTCATTCCAATTAGCCAATAGTCCGTTCATTTCGACGATGCCGTAGACACAGGAAAAATCCACTAACGTTCTGTCATTTGCTGCGTCTGAGAGGCTAAGGCACATTTCCCTTCCTACGGCACACCTGTTTAATGTCGCAGGGTAGTGTCTACGGTGGCGAAGATCGCCTTATTGGATAGTGGGAAATATTAGCCATGTGATATCATTATATGGTTTACGTGCTTTTATGGGTACCCATTGCCTGATGGGTGCTCAGGCCTGCCTGACGGCACTGTCGCTACATGGCTCGTAACTGCCCTATTCGCTAGACCCCATAGTCTGTCTATCTCGCAACTGGTTTTCCCTGTAGACCGTTTTTCTGGCCGTGACCTGTGCAGGTTGCGCTTAGAGCGTAGTCAGGTTACCAGACATGTCCCCTCTTCAGAGTCAACTTGTATCGTGTCGATGAGCAAGGTTGACTGATTGATTGAGGCGTAGTCCTCCTGGAATACTCTAGGTCATCTGATGACAAATCTGGACAGGAGCCAGCCATTTTAATTTTGCGTATATCGCGTCACTGACGCTGTCACAATATCTTCTGCAGTCTACTGTGCACGCCTGAAGGAGCCTCCTTCCACGGTGCGTTGGAGATTGACTTGTTACGGTGTGGATGTAAGGAGTGGAAATAATTGTGGCCCTTTTAATTCCTCCAGGACATTTCTCCCAATAAGTTTTTGTGTGTATAATGAAGATATTTACGAAGTGGATAGGTTTGCGAAAGGATTCGGGAAGTACACAAGCATGGGCATTTTTACATATAAGCTAAGGCGACGGAGGCAGCTTTGGTCAACTAAGACACCGGTGTCCAAAAAGCACCTCTATCAAGGCGACAAATTGGTCGGCCTCCTCTGCTTTAAAGGCCAACATTTTCCAGAAAAGTTGCTAACCTATTTTGGACTAAGCTCAGCCCTCTGACTGCGCTCTAATGCACAAACTGTCCCACTCTGTCACCCTCCCGCCGGATTCCTCCTGTCTTCTCAGCACGGTCTCTGCTGATAAGCTTGCCTGATGTGATTTGCATATTGCATTTTCCCTGCCATCGTCTAAGATGGAAATAGGGACGCCGGTAGGGTTTTCAAAGAACTGTCGAGTTAGCAGGACGTTCATACACCGGCGCTTACCTAGTTAAAGAACGAAAAAGTTTATCGGGCTCTTTTTACATGTGAGGGTGAGAAGAAAAGAAGATGCAAGGGAGGATGCAAGAACTACGGCATCTCAGGGACAAATGAACAAGGAACGGCTACCCAAATAGTTTCATCAGCCGCTGCATACGCACGCACTCACGACGGACAAACGGAAAAGAGACACCAACAATTTTGCACTCCTTACCGTACATAAAGAATGTGTCCAAGGTCAAAGAACGCATTGCGTCAGAGTAAAGCGTGGGTTTAGCTCATCATCCGACGGCTACCATACGTAGCAGGATCATGAAAATAAAGGATTTGCTGAACGCAGGTGAGCAGCCGGGCATAGCCTATCAACTCCCCTGCCATAACTGCCCTTGACATTACACAGGCCAAACAGGACGACGTCTCAGCTCACGAATACTTGAGAACAAACGGGCCGTTCGGAGAGGCGACCCACTATCTCCAGTCGCCACTCACATGCTGGAGGAATGCAGTGAGTTCGACTTCGCCAACATGCGGATATTGGCGCGAGCCGACAACAAGACGGGGCGAGAACTTTTGGAGGCGTGGGTGTCGGACACCAACTCTATCAATAGACACATTGGTTTGCCTGAGTGTTATCACGCCCTCTGTCCAGGCAGCCAGGTGGCGCGGCTCACATCGCCGCGAAGTACAAACGCCGTCACCACGCCGGGGACCACTGTGGGCTAGGCAGCACAAACCAGACCTAGCCACGGACGTAGTCCCCCCCCTCACGGCACAACGATATAAATGTTCACACGTTGCTGCACTCTAACAGTCTCTGATGATGAACTCCTGTTCGAGTTCGAGAACTAAGGTCAATAAATCTACCGTCCCAATGATCGTGCCTTCGTCTTCCTTTAAACAAGAACCTGGGATGCGCATATTCTCTTCCATTCAGGAAAGGTTGGGTTCTCGACATGAAACGAGAGGACGAAGCATCATTCGAAACATGCTGATTTATCCTGCATCGAATTCCCCTTAGTCAACAGATCACGTGGATTCCAGACGACTGTCTGCCAAAGCAATCCTTATACAGCGATTCCGCGAGGGGTTCACGAACGGAAGAGAGAGAAGTACAATTTTGTGTAGGCGTGCTTAGAACTTCGCCCTCAACGCCTTGGAATTGAGCACACATAAGAAGGACTAATATCACACAATTTACAATCTGCGGTGCAAATAGGAGCATTAGTCTTCTAAGTGGCCCGGCCCACAAAATCACGGAAGACATCACGTAGGCAAGAGGAACCCCCCTAATATCTGACAATCCATTCCCGCATTGACACACATTCGGCTCGCATTTAAAGTCCGAGAAGCACTTGTTGGACAGCTCGGAATCCATGGAAAAACGTTGGGCACAGGAAGTTATTATAGATCTCACAATGGCAGATATAATGATTGGGATAACCGCCCTTGGTCTCGATAGACGATTTACCCTAGGAGTGAGAGGTTGGCTGATGTGTGTTCATGCGAGGAAGACGGCTGATAACTTTTCAAGGGAAGCAGTTGCCCGGACGGCTGGACACTGACATCAAACACCAGAGGGCAGGACGTCGGCGTTTCCTCATTAGTCCCTTTTAAATCCAATTTCCCGTCGAGATTTCACGCAAATGTAGCTTATACTACGTGAACCGCTATGAATGTCGGACTCCATCACATGGTTGAAGTCATTTTGTTCCATCCACAACCCGAAGCTTGTATTAGTGCATTCAGAGTTGTTTTTGGAGAGGGAATCGTGCGTATTCTAGCCCACGCAGACTGGAACACACGCTCCGGTCAGACCTGGAAGTCAGTGACTAGCAAGTCAGCATGTCCCTATTAAGAAGGCCATGAGCCAGTCCATTCGCACTGCCACTGTCACAAATGGTTAGCTTCAGCCTACAGGGAAGCAGCAGAAGTGAAGGTACCTGAAATGGTTGTTGCAGACATGCATTCTTAGGAATTAGACAGCTATGGGCATTTTCCACAGGCAAGCAGCCACAAGGCAGGACAGAGTTCGGAGGTATAAGGCCGCCCTATTTAAAGACTGACTGCTTTCTGTCCTGCTTGAAAAGCCCTCAGTGACTCCGAGAATAGCCCTCGTAGACGATAAATTCGCCTGGCATCGACGTAATCAACGAAACTTGCGGCCCGGAGCCAAAGCAAATTATTGAAACGAAAGTCGGCTACACATTTTTTGGACCATCCATAACAACGAAAAATGACGCTATACAGAACTTGACTCCAGTATCAGGAAGTACTTCCATGGGGGTAATATGCTTTGCTAAAGACAACCGCTAGCAGAGAATCGGTCAGAGTACTTGTTTACAGTAATTTCCCAAATAAGACGACGAATAAAGATGTAAGCACAAATTCTGCAATGATCTACCTTCTATCTCTTCCAAGGGGGATCAAGTTATTATTGTCGGTGAGTTTAATGCACGAGTAGTCAGCGGAAATGATATTGTCAATGGAGCAATCGGTCGTCTCGTAGTCGGTGGCCTCAACAGAAACAGATACGTGCAACTGAAAGCATAATTAGAAAACACCTTTTCATTGAGAGTATCGTCTTTTGCTTTGATCGTCGCGACTAATTTTCGGTCATCGCGGTTGCTGGCCGGAATGAGCTGAGAATGAAGAATGTGACAGAAAGGCCTGTTGGGCAACGGTCTTCTCCGAGCCCGTATTAGATTGTGGAACGAACAGCGGAAGCTATCGCGATAAGTGATAATTCTAATGAGGCTGAACGCCGATTCTATGAACAACAGGAAACAATTTAGTTCTAGCTAGGACAGCAGACACAAATGAGCATACCTCGAGGAGTGTGGGATGTCGACCAGGCCAGGGAAACACTGAGACGCAGTCTACACGATCGCCTTGGAGGTTCCTATGGTTAAAGCGCATCACGATCAGAACTAGGTCGGCGAAAACGATCAGACGATCGAAAATGTGCTCGTAGAACAGGTCTGATCAAAAAGTGTAGATTGTTGACGATTTAATAAGCCACTGGCAGCTACTGGAAACAACTACAACTGAAACTACCTAAATTGAAAAAATGTTTGAATATTCTACAAAAGGGTTAAAACCCGAGAGTATGTTGATTGTGACAGAGTCGAAGAAGGCTTTAAAAGTTGTAAGGCTGGCGTAAATATCATAGATAAACGGGCATTCGTTACCACCTGAAGTATCTCGGTTAACACAGCAATCGGAGACCACGAACCCCAAATTACTCGACGAATCATGTCCGGAGGGGTATTATTCGGTTCTTCCTTAAGAGCTCTGTAGTAGCCAACAGGCCTTCCCATGCAGCGTCTTGAATTCAAAGATGATCAACTGGACGGACGAAGCATCAAGCCGCTATGGCTCCTTCATAATGTGACCTCTATGGCACTCCCAGCCATCTGAAATCCGAGACACCAGCTGCCTTGTTTATGTGAAAACCTAGTCGCTTGTGCGCGGACAATGCGTGTGTGGGTAGCATGTACGCGCTGCTCAACGTTGTCAGCTACTGTACTTGATCCCACCTCCCTTCGTCTCAATTCATTCTTGTAGCCCGGCTCAGGTGCGTGAGGGAGGAGAGATTGCGGTAGACGCTGCGCAATTCCACCATCACTACAAACTAATTGGTGGACGAGTCACCGTTCCTCGGTCCACTCTGCTGTGGGGCACACAGTGGACATCGTCGTTCGCGACGGTCGAACTGATAACAGGCAGAGAACTCAGTCGGTCTCAACTACCTGAGCAAGTAAATAGGAAGAATATAACTTGGCTTTTTTACTACCCTGGACGTCAACCACAGACTAGTAAGTGTTTCCTAACACCAGGTCTAGCAAGCTGACAATAGTTGGTCAAAGAGGGCGACAACTAATGCTTGCACTATTAAGGCATGACTGACTGTAATTCCAAAATCATGGCTGGATGCTTCTCAGCACTCATGCTGAAGGCCGAGCTTCCAATATCAGACTGGTTTGTGGTGGTGCTTCTAGCCTACAAGACCTGAAATTGAAAAGTGTTGTCGACAAACATCTCATAGACTTGAATCGTCGGTTCTGGCACGTGTGCCATCATCGACCTGAAGCTCCCATATAGAACGCGACCCTAACGCACCTTCCTCCAGTTTCCGAAAGTAAGTGAACACCCTTCTGACATGTGGCCTGGTGTTATATTTTGAGGTATAAAGCGTACCCGTTTCGCTACTGGCCGGAGAACGGGGCGCACCGGCGACCGGAACTTGTTTTTTTTACGTCTCTCTCTGTCAGACTGGTTTCCTATATGAGTTGATTTGGTCGTTGGGACCAGATTCCGTTGAGCGGTAATTCCGTCAAGGTTCTCACTCCCACGGGAGAAGTCTAGCTCATTTTGTCTTTGAACTAGGGACTGTTAGTGCGTTAGGTAGTTCGGCCCTTGGGCTTGAATGCTGAGGTCTTCAAAGTCAAACCTCCGTGATGACCGGTAGAACCAAGTCAACTGTGCATTGGAATGGGCAGTTCAACCGTCGCGGATGGCGATGTCCCCCGTGTGTGTCCCACACTATGGTGGGCGCAAGACGGTCACATGATCGTGAATCAGTTTACAATGATAGCAGCATCTGCCGTACCCTCCCCCTCCTCACCCACCTGGCAAGACGGAGTCAGGACTTCCGGAGGCGAGCTCGAACGCTGCGGCTGACAGCTCAACACCCTGTACAGCCCTGCCATACACGACCTGGTCTCGGGACATTTTACCATGCTTTTGCAGGCCAAAAGGGAGGCGGTTCGGTTCTCACGTCCTTTAACGCGTCATAAAGACCCCATTTTGAAAGAGCCGTAGAGCTTGACTCTCAGACCACGAGGGCCAAGTTACCCCATCAGTTGGCAAAATTCCAAGCGACGGCTTTTAGCGCGTCCTGATGCATTCAAACGCATCAGATTCACTAAAGTCAGGGCTGCACAAATGTGCTGTGGAGGGGCTTACCCAGTATTTGCCTTACTTTCTCTCTTTCCTCTTACACAAGTGAATCCACTGTCCAAGCCTGTCAACTAGCTGGTAGTGGGATCGTGAGCAGTGGCTGACAGAGCTACGATTGTCCATCTTCGACCTGGTGACAAAGTCATGCATCAGAGTATAACAAAGAACATACTTCCCACTTACATTAGAGGGGCATGTTCTGTGAAAGTGGTGGGTGCGTTGGGCAGGGTTTATTTGGTTTGGGTGATGATTGGGCTGAGGGGTGATGAGGTTTGAACTGAAGTGTTTTGACGCAGATTGCCATGGATGAACACATACCCGAATAGGCCCATGCGATGGCTGAATGTCTCTGGGCCGTGTGGGCGGGTGAGGCGAATGTGTGTTGGGGCACATGGCGTCGGTTCGTCAGTCACAGGTCGATGGATTGGTAAGTGACTGATCGGGTCACTGCTTGATGTCAATGTGCGATCACAGGGGGAACAGGTTGGGACTAAGCCCACTCTGCTGATGATGCGGGCAACGTTAATGGTGGTGGCAGTGGTCGGTGGAGTGTAGGGATTGTGATAACCGTTGCTGGGGTTGGTGGCAGTCGTCACCATCGACGTCATGGGGGTCGCGGTGGTAATGACGGTGGAGGTGTTTTCAGAGGCGGGTGGAGGAGGTGTCGCGTTGGTAATGCATTGGGTCCGAAGATGTCCAACAGAGCCTGTTCGTACGCGGAGTATCCGTTGACATTGAGGGCACGATGGAAGGGGTTGGATGCTAGGGTTGTTGGTCTGTGGTGACTAAGTCTCGCAAGCCTCTCTTTCTACTTAAACAGCGACGATCCTTTGGGATTCTTAGACTGCTGCTTCAGTCTTCCCTGATATTCTCCAAGCTGGTCGATCCTTGGCGAGGTCCTCCCAAGTGAAGGCTCTCGTTCTTCATCCTTTCAAAGTGGCTGCTCCAACGCAGGTGTAGTTTTCTCAACCTGACATCAAAGCTGAGGATTCCAGGCAGTTCAAAGACTTCCATGTCAGGTCTCTGTCCTGTCACTTCAGCTATAAGATTCTCCATAGGTGGAAATTATTGAGCTTCTTTGCTTTATTCCCGTAGATCGGCCATATCTCTGCCTCCTACAGGAGATTAGTCCGGACGACTACCTTGTACATTCCAAGGATGGTTGGAGCAGGTGCACATCCTTATCTCACCCCATTGGTCACTGCAAAGGCTTTCGAGACCGGCCCGTTGTTATTGATACGAACCAGCATTCTACCTTGAAGTCGATGTACCATTTAAGCGAAGTTCTCCGAGCACCCAAATTTCAGCATGGTTTTCCAGAGACCGTCGCTAGTTACGACGCTGAAGGCCTTTGTCATATCCACGAGGGAGATGTAGAGGTCAGTTCTTATTTCCGGGCACTTGTCCTGTAGTTGGTGGACTGCGAAGACCATGTTTATTGTTCCGAGGTTCCGTCAGAATCGATATGGATTTCTCGTGAAGATTCATTGCTCCAGGTAAGTGCTGAGGTGATTGAGGGGAACTGTGGGGAAGATTTTTCCAGTGATGCTGACGAGGGATTGCCTCTGTCTTTACCACATAGTTCGTAGATGCATCCGATTGTAGCATCCTTGAAATCTCGGGGACTTTTCTTCGGCATCACATCTCCTGAAACAGTGAGGTTAGCTTTTTCACGAATTGTGGACGGCCATGCTTGTAGATTTGGGTCGGAATTGCCTTGGCCTTCGGTGATTTCCGACTGGAGAACTGGCGTACTGCTTTGATTGTTTTTTGAAGAGAAGGCGAATGGTCCGAGCCAACGTTGATTCACATGGAAGAGCCTGTCGATGGTGGCGTCGGAAATTGTGGGTGGTCGGTTGAGGACGCTTCTGAAGTGCTGGATCCAGTGCTTCAAAATCTGCGATGTACTGCAAGTTAACGATTAATTTCTGAGGAAATGAAACAGTAGCAATTTTAAAACTGAAGTATCAGCCAAAATGTACACGGAGAACGCTGGGGACTCACTGATGAACCGAACCCCTCGCAACTGTGTCATGCAGCGGCAGAATATTGGCGAAACACGTGTCTGGGCTTCTAGCTAGCACCTGTGCTGTCAAGTATGGTGTATCATGCAACCTATGCATAACCTGCGATTTCTCCGTGAGGGGTGTCGCCTCGTCGAAACTAAGGGGCCACTCATTCCATTTGATGTGAAGGATGTAGGTCACCCTAACTGACTCGAAGACATTTTTTCTTTCGTTTCGGTCCGCATATCCTTGTATTTCGTCTGCCTTGCGATTCATTCAAGTATTTTTTTACCTTCCGCAACCGCTGTTGCACCAGGCAGCGACAATGAAAGAAGGCTGCTTTGTGGGAATTGGTGCCGCTGTTGATGTAGGCAGCGTGTAGCTTCTTCTTCTTCTTTTTCTTCTTCTTCTTCTTCTTCTTCTTCTTCTTCTTCTTCTCGAGAGGCTGATTGCAGGCTCCTTCGTCGTTCGGAAGAAGAAGGACTAAATGTTGGAACAATAAGTTTGGTGGCCCAAATTTTCGGACTTACACTCGAACCCATCACCAGAGACAGTCGCAGAGGGGGTGATGGGGACGCACAAGGAGTGCAGTATGTATAGAATGCAGGTCTCACGCTACCACGTGCCTCCATAATTAGCAGTCCCGTGTTCATCCCTTGGGGTCGTTTTTGATGCGTTGATGGCTTGCTAGTCCGCACTCGAGTCGTTAAGTGTAGTATTTTCACCACAGTTGCTGATTCGTAACGTCATAGATATTCTGCGATTTGGCTTGCTGCCACCGGAACTGTAGGCCGCCCGCACTCTCCCCACATGACTGATTTCCCTGCCGAGGCAAATTCTCAGCAAAGAATATCGGCGCAGGAGGTCCTTGCGTTTGCAGGACAGAGAATCATGACTTTCGTAACTCGCAACTCACGCGGTTGTCACCTCTTGCGAGAATTTCGGCCTCATCAGACTTGAAGGTATATCTGGGTCCTGGGCCGAGTGCGTCCTATAAATACTGCACCCACTACGCCTTCGTCATCTTTAGCTGCGGCTGTCTCTGATAATGGGCTTGAGTGTGAATCCGAAATTCCCTCCCAATAAACTTCTTCTAAAGATCTTATCCCCTTCGTCTGAACGGCTTCCTGGAACTTGCCCTCGCACTTCTCCGTTGTTGACATAAAACCAGTCCTGCTGATGTTATCGTGCGCCACGAAGGACGTTCAGAGCGGTGGGGTGGATGACGTTCCGTGTTTGGTTCCATTTCGTCTCTGCAATTGCGTTACCTCCTGAAACCGACATGCCTTTTAGAGGTGGACTCAGAAGTTTGCTGAAATTTAAGCGGTGTTGAACCATGTTCAACATGCCAGTGTTTGGTTTACCTGGTGGCTGCTAAGCTTGCGGCCGTCTGCAGGGTTGTATCTGTAGCCTCATCTCGGAGTAGACAGTGCAGTGGTCCGCTCAGCAGTCCGCATCACAGATAGCTTTTTTCACTAGCACGCCTCACCGATCTCGCCTCCGGACGAAAACATAGTGCAGCAGCTGCCAGCGTCGCGATCCGGGGGTGATGCATCAAAGCTGTCTTCTCCTGTGTTGAAAGGTGGAAGAATGTGTTGGTTATGGGGAGGTTGTGCTCCGCATAAGTCTGTAGGAGAGGGAAGCCGTTGTTGTTGAAGGTGCCAATTCCTTGGAGATCCAACACTCTCACATGCAGCATGATCTGTGCCGACGCGAGCATTGATGTCACTAAGGACAGTCCGCTTGCCCACTTCGACACAATCGCAAGGAGAGCGTGCAGATCGTCATAAAATTTGTTCTTCGCCTCGTCGGAGTTGGTCATTAGATGGGGGGCATAGGTCCTGATGATGATGAAGAGGGAGGCGCAGAGTCATGAGATGTTCGTTAATGCCCTGTGGCAGACAGGGCAGTCGTTCAACCATGTCGTTCGTGATGGCGAAAGCGACGCCAGCGTCATGTTGTTTTGTCTTTGGGCGTAATTTCCAGAAGAAACTGTAGCCTGCACACACGTCGGTCAGATAATTTATTTTAGATAGTCGGATCTCACCAAAAACCGTGATGTCCACCTTGTCTCGCATCAGCGCTGTTCTCCTTTCCGGTCGGTTGCTTGGCGGGTTGTTTAGGTAAAGTCAAGCATTCTAGACTACCATTTCTAGGCTACCCTAGCAGTCTCTGGAGTGGACTGGAGGGATGGGGGCGGGTGAGTAGATTTTTTGTGGCCTTCGCCCGCGAGTATTGAGTTCACAAGTCACGGTCAGCTTGTGGACGGTACGATTTCCCAGCATTTGTTTATGGAACCTTTTCCAGCGAGGGAGCAAACAGTGCTGCCCCTTAAGAGGGTTGCTTGGAACTTTTAGGCGACTGCCAAATTCAACTATGGGTTTCAACTTTCTTTATTGGGAAGACGAGCCGAGTTGGCCTTAGTCACCTACGGGATTGCATATCTTCCTCTCCGCAGGTTAAGCTGGGGGGCGGGGGGATGAGGAGGGGCAGAATAATGGAACAGCGAACGGGACTGCCGTGTGTGTTTGGGTAGACGCACCCGATAACTCATTTGGTTTACTCCACAGGCTGAGGTGGCTACCAGGGTATGACCGTTAGGCACGGATGGAGTTGGGCATCAGTTAAGGGTCGTGCGGAGCAGCAGGAGGCGCATGGAACGACCTGTCCCTCCTACGCGGTGTACCCCCTAACTGGATCTCATACCGTGGTTTTCGTGATCCACAGCCGGGTTCATTGTGAGCCCAGTACTCCTCCGGGGATCACTTTCCTCAGAACCCTGATTTCGTAGCTGTGAGCGGGCGTAATCAACAGTATGTAGTAGGTTACCAAGACACACCAGCTCTAGAGACCACATCAGCCTTCTTTTGTAGTTTCACCATGTAGTACCACAGTAATAGTCCGTAGAACTGGTCAAAATGCGCCATTTTTTCCAGTTGGTAGGCGCCACCGTCTGGTTGATAGGGATTAAAGCAGGTCCATCTGGAGGCCACGGGAGAATTCTAGCCTTGTTCGGTTTTAAAAACCAAAGATTAGTGGACGAGGGGAATCCGTTTACTAGATTAGTCTTCGATGGTTTCGTACACTATCCGTAAACATCACACCTGGGTGCTTCCTTGACAATATTGTGCTGGCATAGGACTAACGTCGTACTGGAAGCTCAGATTTGGCTACTTGCCTGCAGCTGAGGGGGCTACTCATGCGCACGGCATAACTGACCTCTGACACCAGTCACACAAATGGACTACTGAGCGGATTGTGTCTCTAGGCCTTGCTGAGGACCAATCACGAAACTGGCCACAGACCAACAGCCGCGGTTAACCCTGTGCAAATTCAATGATATCAGGGTTTGGAACACCAGGCGTTTGACTCACGTGGTGAAGCTGCCGAGCCAGTCGAGTTGGGATTTCGCTCAGTGGCAAAAGGCAAGACAAAAGACGACGGCAGGAGTGGCGGCAAAACACTCAAAATATGCAGTAGAGAGAACCAAGAGGAGAACTACTTTGATGGTTAAGGTTAAGGAGGCAACTATGCTCTGTGAATGAGACAATGGACTATAACCGCAAACTTGCAAGTCTACTGAGAACAAAGGGCTAAACCCTCCTGAGCGGGAAATAAAACGAACCTCGATGAACGAAATTAAACGCGGGTAATGATAAACGGAATCGGACAGGATATTTATTACCCGGCGCTTGACTGCCCACTTCATTCAGTGTGGACGAACTTCATTTGTGCTTGGTGTGGCATGCCCTACAACCAGTCGAGCGATTATGATTCATCAGATGTTAAGAGCAGTTCTTATTAACTACCGTCGCCGAGAGAACTGCCTCCATTCTCGGCGGTAGAAAAAACAAAACGGTAACCACGTGATAGGTGCACTGCGTGTTCATACACATCTGCTTCTGTCTGATGTCGGATTTTGGTCGGTGAATGGTGTCGGTTAAGGAGGACATGAATGTACTTATAACAGCTGGCATCCCGGTCTCATCGTACCCCGAAGTCACTGTCCTTTGGCACGTCCCATCTGCTACTCTTATTAGACTTAAGACACGGCTGCTAAACGGTTCTCTTTGCTCTTCATTCCAAGGCAAGCATACTTTACAATTGATTCTGCCCAATTACGCAAAGGGGAGAGGTCCTTTAAGTATGGTCGTGCTCCAATTTTTGACTCATCAGACATCTGAACTAAAATACTGGCATTATTTAAAAAAAGAACACAACATTCACTATGACATATTGAGCTCCAGGTTCCTGTTTTTATGAATCTATTTTCAGTGTGAGTTATGCTAGGGTCAAATATTAAGAGTATGGTTATGGATATCTGATTCATATGAGTTAGTGTCAAGCGTTGATCTTTAATTGACAACTTTCCAGTTTACTCAACTATTAAGAATTATTCCAAAGACATTTGTAACAACAAAAAGTAGAATACACAATGCAGTTCCTTGAAACCACCATCACCACCACCACCACCACCACCACCACCACCACCACCACCACCACCACCACCATCAGAAGACCGGAGACGGGAGAGGGCGCAGGTGGCTGGCACGGCCTAAAGCTGGACATAGGCGTACCACTACACCCCCTGGTTCACAACAAACACTTGGCTAGGATTTTAACCAACAACAACAATAGGGGCAGCAGGGATCCTGATTGGCGCGGCGTAAGTCGTCAACTGGGTCTGCCACCGCACCCCGGATGTTGGTACCTGTTATAGGTGTACATTCTCGATAACGCCTCCAAGAAGCCGATCTAGTCCCCGTGTTGGTCCAGCGCGTCTACCGGATGGCCTGCTTCAGGGTTTCGATCTAGATCCCCGTAGCAGCCGCACAGCGGCTAGTGACAAAGGCAAAATGAGATAATAGACAAAGACAGGGGAAATCTGAAGCATTTTTTCCCGGATATGAATTGAAAACAGGCATGTACAGCAGAATTTATTGGGGTCAATGAATTTTGTGACGGCTTATCAACTGCAGCCCGTCTCTGCATAACATAGGTAACGCATGGTGGCGCACAGCAGTATGAATTTGTACAGAATGTCAGTGCATAAGAGCAAGGTCAAGGTTCAAGACAATGAATAATCAGATGAAAGACGTTCCCATAGGCATCATGTAGGAAAGAGGGAGACGGAATGTTAACAACAAATCAGAGTCACGAGTAATTTGATGCGTGAAGGGTACCAGGGCAATTGCAGACTGGTCACGTGGTCTAACTGCTTGCACAGGTCTGGTTCCTCACTAACGAAATTTATTGGCCCCAATAAATTCTGCTGTGCATGCCTGTTTTCAATTCAAAGACAGGGGAGACTGGGCTGGCCATTTCTTGCTTATTTGCGGACGTCAGCCGGGCTTGCGTAACAGAAGATTTGGGGGCACCTGAGGATCGAGCCCACATTGGTTTTGATTATTATGTGTTGGCAAGTCCGACTCCGTAACTGCTGAGCATCCCTTCGCAAACTGTACCACACTTATGTTCACGACAATGTACACTCTACGAATCTCAAAGTAACACAGCTCAACTGACATTTCCTTGTTTGTTTGGCCCATAAAAGACAAAGGGAGACCTTGGAGATCAACCGTGTATCACTAACTGACCAGTTGTAATCGTCATTTACAGACCGACTCTTTACATTAAATTCAAGCAAAATGAGGAGAAGCCAATAGCCTTTTTAAACGAAATGCGTCTCTATGTTTAAGCATGAAGTACTTATTGGAGGCAAAAAACTTACTTGTGGCCCAGTTGGCTGACAATGGATATTAACGAGGCCAACTTTATAACACTTCTTAGGCAGCTCCATAAAGGAATATTGCTGGTCCCTACATATATACCGCATGTGCTGAACTCTCGTCACGCTATATGACGAATCGTTACTCCGGTTTGTGTAAGACTAGGGTTCAGTGCCTTCACTAGCGTTAATGGCAAAGGTCCCGGATAAAACTATCAGACGGGCACCCTTAGTTAGAAGTCAACCTGTCCTGAATGGGGCAGTGCCTGCATAGGACGAAATTCTCATGAGCTGAAAAATCCGCATCCATAAGCGACTGACTCATAAGGTACCAACCCCAGACTAGAGACGGACATAAGTCGCTGGACCCCCTGAAACCGTGACCCATGTTTAGATCATGCAGCTCAAAATATGAGACGCTCCGGGAGTGCGTATTCGTGAAAGTAATCCTTCACTGCAATGGAAAAACGCACTGTAATGTCGGGCTGTCCTGCACCTTTTATGATTTCCTTTGGGCTTTTTGACCATTTTCGGTGTCATTTGCTGATCTATTTATCATATTTTCTTTTGGAATCTCTTAGCTTTAAAACCACCTCCCAGTGTTTGCACCTTCGCAGGCACGAAGGCCTATGTTTTATGGTTTTGTCCACTGTAATTTTCCTGTCCGTTTAGCCATGAATCAGCACGACTTACCGGTCAGCTTGGACAACGTTGGCCCTAGCCTGCCGAAATCTGCCACCCCGGTATTTCACGACAGCCTTACCTAAACTGTTTTGGATAGCTAAAATAACGCTCGGGATTAATAAGGAGCCACTCTCCTAAATTTGAATTGGCCCCAGTTCTTCACAGGTCGGAAATTTCGCCTTCTTTTGAAACCGACACTTTGCCCCGCCCATCGGAAGGCTCTAATTTCTAACCGCTGAGTGGGCCAAGGGCACACAGGGAACACGAAGCAGAGAGGGGGCGGGGTGGGTTGAAGTATAGGGAAGGGGCTGAAAACAGTCAGTAACATTCTTGTCCTCTTTGTGCAACAGTCACGTTTTTTAAGAATGATGACAGTCCCACTCAAACGTACTTTCTCAGAATTTTTAAAGGATAATCCTCGTCCGCATTCCACAACCCGACATAAGTGGAAAGCAACAAGGCATAAAATTACTGTGGGTTGACCTTCTGTCACTTTTTGTATTCTTCTATTGCACACGGGTTTTATCTGCCAGACTGATCAGCCACTTCATCGGCGGCGTCCGTAATTACTTCGTAGGCTGAGAAAGAGTAAAATTAAGTGGACGCTTCACAAAACATAAGTCTGCCAGAAGGAATCATGCATGGCAAATTAGAGGAGAATGGGGACAGGCAGAGTGGGACCGCGTGCGAAGAGAGGCTGAGTCGGAGCGTGAGCCAAGGTGAACCTCTAGACAATTCTCGCGTCGGATACAAGTCATGGTCATAGTCACCCGGAGAAGGTTATTTCTCTCCTACGAACCTCACTGACCACCCGATTGAACAATCCCGCTGACGTTCGCTAGTAGAAGCACCCATGCTTGTTCTCTTCTCGATCCCTCGGCCACCACACACGTACCGCCCATCTCTATCTCTACTTGCTTCATTGCGTGTACTCCCAGAGGTTTTCGGCCGGGAGATGCAGTTTAGTATTCTTAGGCCCGCCAAACCTCAACGCGATTTTCATGAAAACAGAAAATTTGCCTTGCGGGGTGTGTGGAAGCACTTCAAGACACTGTGACAAGGTAAATGACGCGATATAAGCAGGAATTAAAATGGCTGGGTCATCTCCAAATTTGTCATCAGAAGGAACACGCCTCAATCAATCAGTCAGCCTTGCTCATCAACACAACACGAGCTGACCCTGGAAGACGGGACATGTCTGGTAACCTGGCACGGTGTGAGCTCATTCCATCTATTTCAGGTTGGTAGATAAATGTATGACGTGGGGTTTAAACGAGCTAGGTCAAAGTCTTTTGGCCAGTTTCATCTGCTCTATCTCTGTGTAAGGGGTAGGCAGGAGCGGGAGTTAATACATTTGCCCTCGAGAAGATCTTCCGAAGACTGAATGGACGTATTTGTGGAGAAATTAAACGAGAAGTTAGTCTGTGCCTCTGGACTTCTCTTTTCCTATGAAAGTACACAAGTTGGAAGTCGAATCCGACTGAGAACAGATGTCTTGAATGCACTGTCTCACTTCATGTCTGCTTCTTTTTCTGCATGAATGTGATCATTTCGCTGTCCTTGGTGGCGCAAAGAGTCCTTACTGTACTGTGTTGGGTCGACCTGGAGGTGTAGGCCAGACCAGGATTGAGCAAAAATTCGTGGAGGATAATAGGATGCGGACATGAGGAGTGATTGCATGCCAGGGCGAGTCGGAGTGTTCAGTAGGATAGCAGGCCTGACACGGAAGCACGTGAAGTTAGGCAGTCGCAGTGGTAGACCATCCTAGGTGATCCATGTGGAAACGCAGGGTGTCTGAGCGTGGAAAGGAGCCGCCGCGAACGAGGTGCGGACGAAGGGGGGGGGGAGCGGGGACCGGGGAAGTAGAGGGGAGGAGTGCGCGATCATGCCTCTAAAGTTCTGAAGCTTCCGTCGCCGTTGTGACCTCTGTCGGGAGAGGTTTTTTTTCAAAAAAACGCCTGCACGCAAGCGCGCATAACGCACAGTGGAAGGGGTTAGAGGAGCAGGGTTTGAAAGTGGAGACGCGGAATCGCTGGCAGTAGCGGCAGGGTAGCAGTACGACGAGGCGGTTATTAATCATTTTTTGGTCTGACTCACAACCTCCATGCTTGTGTCTACGTCGGCATGTCGCCTGGGCGGGTTTGTTTGTCGGCGTACGTTGTTCATGTCCTCGTATTACGGCGCCTGTCCCGCTCCCCTGCTCTTGCTATCTGTCCCATCCGCTTCTTTCCCCATACGTCTCCGACGGCGCTATTTGTGGGGATCTTTATAATAATCGGCCTCTAAACCCAATGCTATGAAATGTCTAACTTGAGTTTCCTGAGGCCCATTACGGAGTCAACATAGATGAGGCTGCTTTGTGCGCCAGTCCTGTCTTCTCTAGCAATGGTGCTTTCGAAATAGTGCTGCGAGTTCCCGTAAAAGGGTGTAGGCATGGAAGAGGTACTCACTCATGATTTCTCACGTAATACCCTTATTTCATTTTCAATTACCGCCTAGGTCTTGTTTCCCTAATCTTAGAAGACTGCACTACGGCCAGGAAAGAATTCCAGAAATCTGATCGAAATATGACCTCTTTCTCCCAAAAGGTATTTGTTTCACACTTTGGGGGGTGGATGTGCGTACCCTCTCGCGTCGTTGACGATCGTTTTATGGCACTGATTCGTGCCAATCCTAACTGAATGAGAACCCGTGGCCGGATTAGAGATCGATAAGGTCAGGGACCAACCAGCCTCAGGTCCAAGTCATGGGTTTTTCCCTCCTGAAAATGGCTCACGGGCAACTGGCGACAGTGCGTAAGTCGTGGATGGCCGTTGCATCTTTAACCGTCTTTGGCAGTAAGGTCTTAAAATTTATCTTTGTCTCCCGATTAGAGTTCATTAGGCATTGCACACTTGTTTCTTACACGGATATGTCTTACCTCCCCTGAGCTAGGACACAAGGTTGCTCGTAATACGGAAATGGTGGTAATATAGGTCTTTTGGAAAGGGGACGTGATGCTTTAAATATTGAAAAAAGGAAAAACCGTATGGTTGCGTTAAAGTGCTAAAAGGCACTTTGCTGGTAGATATTTCAGAGGAGAGGAGCAAACTTATTCGTGCCCTACCGTTTGTTTGCTATATGCCTGGGAGCTTTTAGACTTCTTTCCGTTTTTGAACAGATGCAATTCTTCACCGTTCTCTCTGCTATTTCTACAGGTCCAGCCGCGACCATTTTGAATAGAGGTCCTGGTGCAAAAAGACGTGGACCATGGTTTTGCATAATTGGACCTGAACCTTGTACCCTCACCTCAGCTTCCAGTTTGACTTCAGGCCATCATCTTTGGAACCATATGCGGACTTGCGGTGGTCTGCTTCCGCGGTCGTCTTCACGAGAGCTCTCCATGTCTCTTGCTCGTCAATCGAATGCTTCCACCAATCGTCGTGGCTCCAATTGCTGATTGGTTGCTGGCGGACGAAATCCAGGTGCAGAAGCACCTAACGAACGCTTGGCACCTCCTTGTCGTCTCACAACAGTGGCTGGAGAGGGTTTCAGTTGTATGATCCTTATATATCTTGAGCAAGAAGACACGATCGTCGGGATAAGAGCTTTATTAGCCCGACGTTTCGGATTCCTGCTCGAACCAAGCATCAGAGACAAAAGCAGATACGGATGGTTCATGCACAAGGGACGGCAGTATTTATAGGATGCAGTCGCCTCGCTGCCGCGGCTCCCCCCTTCACCAGGGATCGTTGCACTTGGTGTGATGACTTTTTTGATGGCCGATATTCGCGCCGTTAATTGCTGCAATTTCATCACGTGCGTTGGATGTTGGTGTGCTGATTGCTCGACCATCTGACCCACCGACCCGGGCGTTGGGAACAGTGTTCACCTGTGCGCTCCCGGCCGAGGCCTCTTGCCCATTTTGCGTATGCACCGGTTGACGAAGTTGCGCAGGTAGCCATTGGCTTTGAATAGCCGTCGGAGGTATTGTAGTTCGGCAATTTTTTCCTCCGGCTCATTGCAATGCGTTTCGACACGCCGATAGAGCGTCCTTACATAACTGCGTTTGTGGCTAATTGGGTAGTTGTTGTTGAAGTTCGGTACTTGCATTGTATTTGGCTTTCCTGAACACTTTGGTCTTTAGTCCACCACAATCCTTGCGTCATACAAGGACATCCAGGAAGGCCAGCTGTTTGTTCTCTTCCTCCTCCATCGTAAATTGTATGTCCGGGAAGACAGCGTTGAGATGTTCTTGAAATGTCAGTAGTTGATCCCGGTCGATAAAGACGCAGGTATCATCCACATACCGGGCCCAGAACTTCGGTTTGTGGTTTTGGAAGACCAGTGACCCTAACCGTTGCAGGACCGCCTCGGCGATGAATCCCGAAATCGACGAACCCATTGGTGTGCCCTTCACGTGTTCGCAGATTGTCCCGTCGAACGTGAAGTACGTCCTGAGACAGAACTTCAGGAGCTGAATGACTTGGGCGTTTCATAGTATTTGCTTTGTAGAAGCCGCTCGATTGTCTCGATCGCCAGGTCCTGGGGAATAGAAGTAAAAAGGGATGTAACATCAAAAGATACCATGACCTCATTTGGATGGAGGCCTACCATTTGAGTTTCTCCAGGAATTGTACTGACGAAGAGATCGTGGTGTTTGACTCAGCGGTCAGGAAATTGAGACGTCGGAACAGTCACTTAGCTAGTCCGTACGTTGGAGTATCTTTGAGCGACACGATGCGTCGGAGGGGCGCGTCGTATTTGTGCACCTTAGGGAGGCCATATCATCGGGCCAAAGCCGTATGTTGGGGTCCCGCCATGCGCCTGTCGATCGGTGTTATTGCGCCTGAGTTCTCCAAGGCTAACAACGTAGCACTAATTTCGCGTGTCAGCGCTTTTGCAGGGTTCATTGCACATGGGACATAGAAGTGTCGGTCTTTCAGTAAACCTTTGGCTTTTTGAAGGTAGTATGTCCTGTCCAGTACAACCGTGGAGCGTCCCTTCTCCGCTGGCACGATGACTTTGTCGGCCTTGAGTTCTCCAAGCGCATCGCGTTCGACCTTGGAAAGCACATGCGGTGGCCTGTGGGCCATTATGAGGGACGACACGTGGTGTCGGATGAGGCTCTTAGTCTCTTCCGTTACTTCCGTCTGACTAAGGATAGATTCTACTGATGCAATCATGTTAACAGGTTTGGCATCAGCTGTGTTGCATGAAGCTTCGTGCCGCAAAACCTGCATCTGATCCTTCGTCAGCTCCTTTGACGACAGGTTGGGCACCAGTTTGTCCTTTCTGGGTGACGTTGGATTGAGCAGCTTTCGGAATTTGTTCTCCAGTGCTGTGTTGTGTATCACTCTCTGCTTTACATCTGTGTTAGGAGTCCGATACTATTTCAGGCCGACTGGCATCTCAGGAGGAAATATTAAGGCTCCCGACTGTATGCTAGAGAAACCCTCCTTTTTGGACCTTTTCCTTGTGAAGGTTCGCCAAGCAGTAATGTAGAGAAGAACAAATCTATGTCGACGTCACAAACTTTCGGCTCCAGTTGTGAAATAAGTAAAATTACTTTCCAGTTTAAACTTATTTTTCTAACTCAAAGAGCTTCGCAAGTAGCATGCTGCATCTAAAACTCATTTTCTGAGTGGTAATAAGTGAGTGCGGAGACACTGGTACAAGATGAGACATTTTGTTCACATAACTTCCTCCAAGAACTTTCAAAATCCTAGAAAAACTCAGTATCGGCGCTTGTCAAAACGAAGGACAATTTCACGTGTCCCGTCAATAATGTAACGGGCACTCAGGTTTATCTTATCTGAGCTGTTCTCTGCGCCCAAAATTATTATTTCCCCCTCTCCTTGCGATGTTTCGAGTCAGTACGGTTTTCGCAAAATCCTCACTGATGTCTACTTTAATTAAACGAGATGCAGATATGTCTGATGCCACTTTGACAACAGATTAGTTATCGAGTCTCCCCAATCCTCTCTCTCTCTGTTGTGTCCGAGTTCACTCATGGTCTATCCTCCTTCTCACAAATAAATTAAAAAGAATCAGAGTATGCTTGGAGTTGTTAGTCCGTTTGGACCTTCAATATCGCGTTTACTTTCAAGATAACTTCGACGTAATCCCTTTTTAGGCAGCAGTTTTACTTGTCTCGTAAAGCAACGATCACTTATAGAGAGAAATGCCATCTGCTCATATGTGAGCTAAGCTTACGGGCAAAACCTGCTTCGACTATCACCGAGTGCCCTTGAAAAAAGTATTACTCACGAAAGGTAAGGCCGATTAAGATTCTGAACAAGTTAGTAATTTCAGGACGGAGGTACAGACAGTGGTTAACCTCATTAAATTTGACCGAAATTCTAAACTGTCTTTTTGACTAAAGATTACTTAAGTAGGGTTCTATTATTCATTATCCTTCGGCAGAATTCTAAGAAACTTCAGTCGCACCAGGATACCGACCTTTGAATGGGCTTCTTTTAGGTTGCCTACAAAAATCCGCGCTCTGTAAAAGATGACTATTTAAATTATATGTATATTTTCATTGGTTTTAGATGTCCTTGTGAATTCAAATATGGTTTATACGAAAAATGCTCACAAATATCCTTAACTGTGCTAATTTGGTAGCAAATCACGTCTCCTTCAGAGTTTATATTCGAAGAGAGGACAGTTTTCGGTTTTAAAAGTCTAGAATTATGAGGGTTTAAAGGAACGTGGTGTGCTACCAAAAGCGCATAAAGGAGGTTATTTTTTAGCCTTTTAAAATTAAAATATCTTTGAATTTATACAGACATTCAAAATTACTTGGGCGATGCATACTACTTACGTAGTCGTTTTTTACGGATTTCAGTTTTTGCAGGTAGTCAGAAAGAAGTGCATTCAGAGGCTGGCATCCTGACGGGACTGTGCTTTATTGGAAAGCGATGTACCATTATCAGTAGTACAGCCCCACCTACAGTACGTGACCTATCTCATGAAACCTGGTGGCAGAATCTGGTGTGAGAATTTAGAACGCCTTAGACGTTGCGCATTTTGCTTGCCTGCCCAGCCTCCTCTGGGAAGTGTCCTCATCTTGTGCACAAACTGTGTCCACTTAATTTTTTCAAGCAAATTGTTCATAAATTTGGTCGAAAATGCACGTTGCGGCATACTCGGACAATTTCCTATGTTAATACCTGTTCTGGACTTCGGTTGCCCATCTGAGCGGGGTTTTCCTTGGAAGGAGAGTGATTTACTCCAGAGAGTTTTAACAAACAGAGGTCGACGGACTTAAAAATCAATTTTTTGTCCGATGGTAACCGTGGTAATCAACTTCTTAAAACAAAGTTTATTGTAAGAGAACCAGATGTTTTGTCGATTTATAGAATTCAGACTAGCAACTCTGTACGATTTTGCTCCCTAAAGTGCAGTAATAATGCACAAAGGCAATCCTTCATTTAAATGAGCTACAATTGTTTTGTCGTTTGGAAAATCCTACATTTTGTCACAGGAAAGACCACCACCGAACTGTCATTTTCAGCTTTGAACATATTAAATATTACTTTTCGGGCAGCATATCTTCTGCACATATGAATTTAGAAATGGAACGAACAAAACGTTAACATCTTCGGCAAAATTTCAGTGTATATATAGCCACTCTGTCGTGCTTTCATAATCGTAGAACGGAGTCGAACTTTGAGCAAAAACAAGTAAAATAGCCGCAGTATAGAGAAAAAGGCATGTTCTTACGTTTGCGGTCGAAAAATATCTACATCTTTAAGCAACGTGAAAGAAATGGCCGAATATGTCAACTTTTTTCTTGACCTCACTCGGTAAAAAATTTAAGTACTCAGACATCCGTCAACGGAATGCAATATCAAAACACTCCTTATGGTGGAAATTTATCAGAGAAGGTTTCTAATTGATCTAAGGCATAAACGTTGTTGCCTTTCGTTATGGACATCCATTTTATTCGACGATGAGGGTTCCTGTTTGCTTGAGTTTTCAAATGTGATCCAGATGACGTTTTAAATGATAAAGAAAGTCAAAACACTCGCTACTTCGATAAAGGCCTCAAAGAATTACCTTATTTCAAAGTTTCTAGCAGACACATAATACAGAATCTGTCCTTATGGGCGATCGGATGAAAACACTGAAAATCGCGAAATATTCGTCGATTCAAAGGGCAATTTGGCGAGCATACGTCTGCTTTCGATAAATTCTCTTCAGGCCAGTACATTTATATGGTTATTGAGCTAATTAAAAAGATACGGGCGAGTAGATAATTCATCGGTAATTCAAGGCCGATCTGAAACTCAACGTAATCCTGGACGAACGAAAAGTGCAAATTAATTTAACGGAAGAAAAGTTCTTTTTACAAACAGAAAATTATATGCTTATGATTACACGTACCAATTATATTTAAAAGTATTTGGCATTAATCGGCCCGGCAACATGTGACCTTATGAAAACTTTTGTTCCTAAGATGCCCTTGTCGGCAAAATCAAGCGAAATATTGCTTTTCTTATTGGACCGCATCTCAATTAATTCAAAAGGCTAAAGGATACCACGAATCCTCAGGAAACTGTTTTGGAATCTATACTCAAAATGTAGTCTGTTGGAAAGGCGCTATACCTGAAAGTACACTAATTCTTTAAGGATATTTAAATGTAAACTTCACTAACACGCCATTTTTAACTGTTAATTTATTTGAGCTTTCATATTCATTTAATTTTTTCCATGGACAGACGTTTCTACAATTTAAAAATCAAGTTTACTAAATTGCAACCATTTTTGACGTTTTCGGGATTTTGCGCTTTTCTAAAAATTGGCATTTCTAGACAACGCAGCATTGACTTCATCATTTATTTTATGCCTTTAATTCCCTTAAAGTTAGGCTTTGTTAACATATATATTGGGTCCACGGATTGGTGTCGGTTTGCGAGCGATTAGCAATCAGTCGTAAATTTTGACACATTTCATGAGTTAGGTCACCCATTGCGAGGAATCCTTTCTAATCGAAACCGAATTTCGGCATTTAGACTAGCATTTAGTGACATGGGTCACTGACCGTATAAATATGCCTTGGAGGGCCGTTTATCCACATAGTGTACTTCATGCTCAACTTATAATGTTCTGAAACTCTGTGAACGGCGTTTTGTTGAGCGCCTGATAGTCAAAGAGCCTGGCGCATTCAAAACTTGGGGTCCATCATAGCTGATTGGCAACTCTTGACAAACTATAAATGTCCGTTGTCATCTCCTTAACCTTATGGGCTGTTATTCTGCATAAACATATTTATTCGGAAATAAGCCACATTGTTTGGGAACGAAAAACCCTCATTATCTAAGTTTTTGAAACTGATTCTCTAGCAAGTTGTCACATGTATGGGCAATGGACAAAATCCTCTAGCTCCTAACTATGTCTAACAAAAGAGTTTAGGGTTGGTTACGGCTTGTGCCAGTGGGTGTCCAACGTGTTTGTTTACCCGGATGAGGTTAGTTGCATTCATTTTCACCTGTCCTTGGAAAATTTGTTTGTGGCATCTAAATCAGTATGCCTATTTATGCATGTCTTGTCTGTGTGCATTGTTTCCCGCAGCTTGTGCCTCTTCTTTGTGGAACAGACGTTAGCGGCGCGAGTGGCCTTCCATGTAAATGTGTGTCCTGTATCCAGTACATACATGACTACTTTGAATAGGTTGTCTCGTCTCTTTGCCGCTACCTAGTGTTTATACGTAGTGGTGGGAACAGGTTTCGCGGCCTGGTCGTAGTTGTTTGCATCCTAATTGCCACATGGGACTTGATAGACAATTTGTTTTCTGTTGAAATAACTAACTCAGTTCTTAGGATGTACAGGTTGGGTCAGCAAAATAGTTGTAGGTTTGTGCGCAAATCTACCCATACACATGAACTCCAAATAGATACAAGACAATTCATTCTAGGTAGCTATGCATATGACAATTCAATAACCATGAAAGGCGGTGTCCGACATGTGTTCTATGCCACGGCGGACGCAGGGAACGGTGACTTGTGCGGGAACTAATTTACAGATAAAATGGAGTTGCGCAACATCTACCACACTCCCTCCTCACTCACCCTCTTGTAGCCGGTGTCAAGAGGGAGTGAGGCAGACCGGAAGTGGGGTCGGACGCGGTGTATGACATGGCTAGCCAGCTCGTTTACGCGAGCCACACGCGTCTGGTCTCCTCACGAGAAATCAGGTTTCGTTTCAGTAAAACACTTGTCACGTATGTGTATTTGCCACCATACCAATACTTAATATGAATCCACGTTGTATCTTTAATATTCACGAGACATTTGGTGGCAAAGGCAGTTCTTGCACTTCTGGTACCCACTGCTAATGATCAGAATCACCCTAAAAACAACTCTAAAACTGAGTTTGTGTCCATGGGGTTTTGTAAAGTGGAAAAAGGACATTTAATACTATCAAAAAATACAGTCGACGGCCTAATTTTGACATTTTCAAATCTTGCCTTGTTTAATTGCCGAGGAAACTAATGTGCGAACTTGCAGCAAATCTTTGGAAACAGACCTTTTCAGGCACGGTCCAAAGTTTGGTATGAATATTGGAGTTGAAATCCATCAGCTACTGTGGAATAACCGCCTAATAATATACTACTGGCTGCCTGTTTGCGGGTTGTGAATAGTAGGTGGTTATTCCGCAGTAGCTGATGGATTTCAGCCCCAATATTCATATCAAACCTTGGACCATGTCTGAAAAGGTCTGGTTCGAAAGATTTTCGCCAAGTTCGTACATTAGTTTCCTCGGAAATTAAACAAGGCAAGCTGAAACTGGAGTTTATATACCAGAAAACACATGGGAAAGCTGGGGGACCCACTGACGAGCCGAACCCCTCGCAGCTGCGTCAGGCAGCGGCATAAGATTGGCGAAACATGCGTGTCTGGGCTTTTGGCTAATACCTGTGTTGTTAGTACGGTAGATCATTGCACAGTTTCAAATCTCTAAGTTTATTAGCTAAAGGGAAGAGGACAAGGACAAATGCCTCAAGCACACTTTGGTCCAGTTTGTCCGTTCAAGAAGGGTTCTCTGATTGACTAGGTAAAGTTCTTTATCTCCCACCAGAGACATCCACCTCGATCGTTTTTACGCTTTATCACTATCCAGTCAGAATATCGAAGAGGTGGACAAATAAAATGCCAACAAGCTTTGGTAAGAAGGATATGCAGAGAGTTCGTCGACCTTCAATGTGCGGCCACCAGTTATTGCAAGAAAATTAGCCCGGCACGCCTGTGAAGTCAGTGAAGTCATCTCAGCCCGGTCGAGGATAAGCAACAAATAAGCCTACTTAAGAGTCTCTAGTCAAAGTGCTTCTTACATCAACATCTCTCCCTCTCAATTTGGAACGCCTCTTGGTGATATGTAAAGTCGCGGGAGGCGGCGTCAGTAGATAACCCATTAGTCCATCTATTGCCTTACGTTCCTTAGCTATTCCAATTTTTAGGGCTATATATAGGCGTAGGGTTGCCAGCATATTCCTGTCGCACACTGCAAGGAACTGTCAACTATAAAACATAGCTCAACTCAAAAGTTCTGTGAGGTAGGACAACCAAATTCGTGAAAATTATACCCGCCGCCCCCATTGGGTGTTATCATTATATTGGAATCTACGTAACTCCTTTTACATAGAGCACAACGCCAGCAATAAAATTTAATTAGGTAGCTGGTATCTTCTATCTAGAACTTGGGAATATTTTGTGCAAAGCGTAATTTTCTAGAATGGTCTTAGTTTACATGTGCTAGACTGTTTGGTCAACAGAGACGTGCCTAATTAAGGTCGATGCTCCAGAATAAGTTACTGAACGACGGAGACCGATTTCATGCTAAAGGAAACCACGGTGCGTAAAGGATGCATAAAATGGGAAGCACTGGGATGTTGCGCAACCTACTGAATTTTGGGACTGGATTTGTCAAATACTTTTTAGGACTAAACATACTACGAAGAGACGTAGGGGGGAAAATGCGCTGCGGGCCATATAGCCACCAGCTTCATACACGCCGGCATTTACAAATTATTATCTGGACCACACTTTTGGCTATTAGGTTTGAGACTTACAGTAGATGGGCTAACTCATGAAATGTTAACCGAAATTCCGAAATGTGTCCTCATTTCGAAAAGATTAATTAAGTAGTTGTAAAACTAATCATTATGCAGAAAAATTCTGTAATAATTCAGTTACTTCAGGATGTCGGCTTTCGAACAAACTTCTTCCCGGTTGCATGCAAAAGACACACTTTGTAAAAATGACTACTTAATTAGCATGTATATTTCTCGCTGATCTTCGATGCCCTTTAATATGCAATTATATTTCATGAATAACGTGGCATAAAAATATTCATTTTTGCTTATTCGGTAGAAAATCACGCTTTCTTCCAAAGTTCTACCCGAAGGAATGGTATAATTTGGTTTTAAAAAAAACTTTCGAATTGTGAGATTTTTTCATACCGTGAGATGGCCGTTCATAAAACGTCATGTCTTGCATTTACCAATGTGGCTTGTAAAGTTAACAATATAGCTGAAATCCACTGCTAAATTATATGAACCCCATATAGTCTCGTCTTAATATTGTAAAGAAATGTATGGTTTTCCATACGCAGAAAATATATGGTTTGTAGTTTGTAAACCTTGAATGCAAGTATAATTGTATGTCGGGTTTAAAATTATTCAAGAATTAGAAAGGTTTTTGAAAACCGAATCATACTCTTCATTCGAGTATGAAATTGGAAGAAGACGTAATTTCCTACCGAACGAGCAAAAGAATGAATATTTTTATGCCATCTTTTTCATAAAATATAACTGAGTATTAGAGGGCATCGAAAATCAACGAGAAAAATGCATGCTAATTAAGTAATCATTTTTTGCAGAGTTTGTTTTTGCATGCGGCCAGAAAGAAATTTTTTCGAAAGCCGACATCCTGCGATAACTGAATTATTATAGAATTTTGCTGAATGGTGATTAGTTCTAAATCCTACTTCATTAATCTTTCCGAAACGAAAGCGCATCTCGGAATTTCGGCTGACATTTCAAGAGTTAGCCCACCTACTGTATTTTAACATGTTAAAAGTGTAACCACTTTTGAGTGTTTGTTGCAGGTGCCGGATGACATGATGTGGAGCAGAAGGTAGGAAAATAGCTGGTCACTGGTTCCCCTGTTCATATTAAAATGCACCTGATTTTGCCGTCCGGGTTTGGGACATATGCAGTTTTTTCTGGCCTCTAAAACTAACATTTAGCGACTTCTTCTCATCTACGACCTAATCCCTCCTACTCGTCCAAAGTTCATTCTATCTTCCCAACTTGTGGCTACCAATCATTCCGCGTCTACAATTTTTCCTTTACAGTTATGAAGTCCTCTCTGTTTGTCCTCATTGTGAACAAGGCAATTTAGGCCTGTCCATATGTGGTACGAATTCTCTGTACTTCGAACGACCATAACCGGTTCACACAACCTTTGAGCAAAGTCCGGAAAGGCAATTCTAGCGGCAAAAGACTATTAGCTGTTACCTGTTCAAGTGGAGTGGGTTTCATAAAGTTGATAGCTCAAAACTGTGGACAATTTCGTCTAATTGGGCAGCACACATCTCACGCAACACCAAAATCGATGACGAAGTGGCCCGCCGGATCTACAAAACTAGCCAGGCATTTGGCCGGTTGCAGATCTCCTCTACAACTGTCATGAAGGTAGACTCAGCCCGAAGCTCAAAATTTACCGGACGGCAGTCCTGACCACTTCACTGTATGGACGGAGACATGAACCGCCTACTAAACCTGAGGTGGCACGACAAGATCCCCAGTACGAAAGTCTTAAAATGGACCGAAATCCTCAGCATCCACGTCATGCTGACGCAACTGCAGTTACGACGGAGCAACCACCTCGCGAGGACCGACAACGAGCAACTTTTCTAAGATAATGCTGCTAAGGGTGCTCGACGACAAAGCAGCCAAAATGACACTAAAAGGACAGCTGATAGAAGCGAACTGAAAGGACAGCTTGCGGATCTTTCCTAAAGATCTTCAAATCAATCCAGCAAACTCGGATGACCTCGCCCAGGACCGGCTGGCCCCGAGAATAACAGTGAAGACTGAAGAAACAATCAATGAAGCCAACCGGATCACCGATGCTAAAGCTAAAAGAGTGCCCAGTCCGTTCCATTACGTGGCCACACTGTCAACGGACACTTCGCGCGTGGGTCAACCTCGTCACATATTTCCGGACCCAGTGCAACAACAACCCATCAATTCCACCTAGCGCCTCCATGAACATTCCACTCTCAGCCCTGCACCAAGCCTCACGGCATCTACGAAGACGACTTCTTCCACTATCAATGATTGTATACCCGATATTCTGCTGTCGTCAGCCGCCGCCGTCTCCGTCACTCCTGTCACAAACACCCCAGGGACGGCGACCACCACCCCTTTCACCCCAGCCACCGATGAGAACACTCCCGAAACCCCGTCAGCCGTCACCCTCAACACCACTGTCCCCGCCACCAGCACTGTGGACTCGACCCCAACCTGTCTCCATTGCGATCGCACATTCACCTAACCCATTGGCCTGGTCGGCCACTTAAAAACCCATCGCGCTGTGACCGACAAACCTGTGCGGGGAATTCCGAGCCACCCGCCGCAATTGCTTCAACCATCCACACGGCCCGCGCACACTCACTCTCCTAATAAGCATATTCTACCACATGTTTATCCACAACGGCGGAATTCACCGCAATATTGCGCACCCGACAACTCTTCCATCTCCAGCACTATAAACTTCTACTCTACCAACGGCGCCGCCACTAGCAACATCACCCTCGCAACAGACTTTGTAATTCCACAGCCTATCTTGTCGACATTAATATCGCACATGGACATCACTCATCGGCCTGGTTGGTCACTTGCAAATCCATCGCACAGAGATTGGCAAACTGGTGCCTTAAGCATCAAGACACACCCATTGTCATCGTTTCAAATTCCGCACGGCCCTCACACATTCGGGTCACAGACGTCTCCAGAAAACCTTCAGTAAACGACTACAGAACAAACCACATAATCACACGTTTTCCCATCAACACATGCACCTCTAACAAACACGCCCGATGTCACACACCGCAGGCCCGAACTAGGAGCCTCTCACGTAAGTAGAAAATGTTTCCTCCGGCTCCCCCATGTGCCCCATCTGCCGCATGTGAGATCTGAGCAAGCTAGCCCCTTTGTAAAAAATGCCGATGCGTTGTTTGTAGTGCAAGGTCGTGTGCGTGGAACGCCCAGACGTAGTGTTTTTAGTTCGGTCAGTCACTGCGCCCAATTCCCTCCTTCAAAACATGTTCCCCACTATAAACATCCTGGCGCACTTGAGGCTAACAGGGTGCGCGAAAAGCCGTGTCTTGGAAGACTGCCACCTGACGACTCGAATTTAACCTCCAGCGTGTACTTGCATAGATTGGCTGACTGGTGGACTGAGAGTAAGGCTGCAATGGCTCCTTCTTAATACGGCCTCTCTGGCACTCTCACGCACGTGAGATCCGAGTTACCCAGCATCTTTGTATGTGCGGAATCAGGGGATGTGGGGACACGAATGGACGCAGGCTGACGTCGCGCCAGACACCTGTGCCTTCTTTCGTCCCGGCCTTCTTGACTCCGTCATGACACCGGGCACAGGTGAGTGGGAGGAGAGAGTGTGGTAGATGCAGCGAAAGCCTTTTATCACAATAAATTAATTCACGCGCGACTCACTGTCCCTGCTGTCACATACGGCGGATATCGACGGAATCGATCGCCGAATTGTCACATAACTCGATTCTCCACTCCCCACAAGAGGATTAAATTCCCCGCCTCTCGATTCCACAGCTCTGGTGCGTTGCAAGGAGTGGACATGGGAACTAATTCGACCATTGCGTCGCGCGCCGTTCTCCTCTTCAGTGCCTTATAACCGTGCTAATACACAGATGACAGTTTCATCATTGAAAACTACGAGGTTCGCCAATGCTCCAGGAGAGGGGAGCAGACAAGATCTGCGCGTGAATTATTTTTATAGTAATGTGGACTTCAACTGAATCAACTTCCCACTCTTTCAGCACCCAAAATGTTCCGATGGCTAAACACAGTTAGGACGACCGAAAGTGGCGTAAATGCAATAGATGCTAAAGTTACACAGCCCATCTGTGCGTGCCACGCACGACATCCAAGTGTTCCAGACTACAGTGGATGAGCTGCCTCATGAAATGTCAACCGAAGTTCTGAAATGTGTCCTCAATTCGAAAAAATAACTTGAGCAGGGTTATAATACTGATGGTCATAAAGCAGTTTAGTTTAGTTGTATCGGGGTTTAAACGAATTCATTTTCGGCGTCTGATAAAAATACAGCCCGCATTAATGATTACTTAATTGTCATGACTATCTTTCGTCGATTTTCGATGCCCTTATAAATTCAAATACAACGTGTAGAAAACACGCACAAGACTATTTATTCTTATGCTCATTCGATAGAAAATAAAGTCCTCTTTAATTATTTTACACGAAGAAAGAGCAAAATTTGGTTTTAAAACTTTTTCCGTTGCCGGATACTTTTTAACTCGACATGCTGCCACACTTGAATTCAGGGTCTTCACACTACAAACTGTATATGTTCCGTGTTAAGAAGGTCTTGCATTTCTATACCCCACTGAAAAGACGTCAAATGGGGCTCATGCGTTTTTGCAGTGAATTTGAACCATACTGCATACTTTAAAAACAAAATCATAAATTGCAGAAATACAAGATTTTGTGAGTGGACTTGTCACAGTCTTAAGAATCCCATAGATAGAAATTTTATAAAACCGGGAGATGCTCTTTCCTCAAGTAAAACATTTAAAGAAGACGTAATCTGCTGCGAAAGGAATAAAGGAACGATTATTTTGTGCATGTTTTCTATAAGATATATTTGGGTGAGGACGATCCCGAATCTCATCTGGGTGACAGGTACCACAGGGACTAAACTGAGGGGGCGCCATTGCGACTGACTCCCAGCCCTACGAAGGATCGAAGGAAGGCTCAGACAAAGGGACTGACCATGCTAAGCGCAACATATGCGGGTGTCATGCATCTCCTGGACCCGGAGAATATGCCAGGCTTTCACAAAGACGACTCGGATCTCACACGCATGAGAGCGCATTGAAGGCCCCATTAAGAAAGAACCATTGCAGCCTAGAAGGAGCGCGTTATCTCGTCAGTTGACAAACTTATAGGCCACGACCCTTAGCACGACTCGGGGAATTCAAGCGTGTCAGACTGATTATAGTGAGGAGTGCAGTGATATGTCCGGGAAATGGATTTCGCAGTGTCCACCTTACTCACTCCTACCTCTCCTATGGACCAGTCAGGTCCTGTCAACCAGCTGGTGATGTGGTTGGGAACAGTGCTCGAAGCGACGTCTATCGCGCGACATACGGCGGTTGGTCATCACTGTACAGGACGATACTTCCCTAGACGACATGATTTTCAAGTTGATGAGATGTGCACACGACGTTTCGCCCGTCACATCGATGATGACAGGTTTGCACTGCATGCATGTTCCGTGGGTGATAGGATGACGACAGTTGTCATGTGTGAGCGTAAGACCGAGTGGGTGCATGCGTAGCCCAGGGAGGCTTGCGTGTGCAGGTGCGCAGGGCGTTCGACTGTGTTGTTTTACTGAAGACTGTCGTGGATACTCATGCGGACGAGGAGACTCATGTGATGACTGAATGTCCTACGAGGGGGATGGGCGTGACTGATGGGCTCGCGTAGAGACTGCAGTTCTTGGTACGATGGTCGCAACATAAAGCTCTCTGAAGACAGTCCGGTGCTCAGCAGACTAACTCTGACACACGCACACATGACCATTCGACCACCGCGAGCTGTCTTATGGAGGGAGTGCAGCGGTAACCTGGCGTGAATTAATTTAGCGTAAGGGTAAATTTCACCACAGCTATCTCATTCTAGACTTCCTCATGTACCTCTTTTCCGTTGGCAAGACGACGTCAAAACGACTGAAGTTGCGCGCGGGCGCAATGGACGACACATTTGAACAGTCTGTCTACGCAGACTACACAGGACCTGTCTCTGTTACAGTCACTACGTTAAATTAAAACAGATTGGATCGCGTGCGAGTGAGAATGTCAGAAAGCCACATTAAGAAGGAGTCATTGCAGCCTGACCTTAAATCCCGAGAGGGACCCATTCCTCCCGTCAGTTGGTAGCCCTCCAAGACAAGACTTTCAGCGCGTCTTGGTGGATTTAAAGGTGTCACATTTATTAATAATGAGGGATGCACCGACGTGCCGTAAGTATGGATTCCTCATTGTCGACCCCGCTTTCGCTTCCCTTCCACACGGACCTATCCATTGTCCGAACCCGTCAAAGACTTGGTGCTGAGACTGGATGCAGTGCTTGGCATAGTTAAGCATCGAGTCTATGCGTGCTACACGTGACTTTGTGCCCACTTCGCGCTCTAGGCTACACCGAATTATACGCTTTCTACTTAAAGGAGATGTGACAGGTGGCGTTTCGTCCGTCATATTAGTGCTGGAGCAGTGGATCGCATGCTTGCTGCAGGAGTGTTGTATGGTGGCTACAGAGAGATTTTGTGTATACGCGTGTTGTGGAAAATGCACGTGGTCAGCTCTGGATGTGTGTGTGTTTGTAGGTAGGGAGGAGTGTGAAGATTGGTCTGGCGAAATAAGCTCTTCTGATGGCTGGATTTCGTGGGGCAGTGTAAGCCGATGAGGCCGGAGCGTCGGGTATCTGCTGGAGCTTCTGGCACTGGCTCGCCGGTCGCAGTGCGATGAACCCTCGGGTGAGTGACCGGACCGATGCGTGATAGCCGTAGGGAAAGGTTGGAACTACGCCCATTTTGCTGGTGATATCGAGGATGCTGATGGTGGACAGGATGATGGGAGTGTTTTCAATAATTATTTTAATGGGGCATTATGTGAGATGAGAACGCGGTTGACCGTGGGGACATCATACTGGGTCCGTAGATATAAAATGAGCATCTCTCTGTCCGACACTTTCGTTGATAATGTAGAAACGATGGCATGGTTAACAAAACACACGTCATTACGACCGTCGTGACCGACGATGTCCACCGTGTGGTTCACAGTAGGGTGGAGGCAGGGACGGTTGCATGCGCGTGATCTCTCTTATAGTGATGGTAGACTTGCGCATCGCCTACCGCACTCGCCCATCTTCCTCGCCTGAATTCGATGCCAAGACTGCGTCAAAAAGACCGGAGAGGGCGCAGGCTGCTGGCAAGCACATAGACGTACTCCCACACGCCATGGTTCCCAACGCACACTGGCCAGGATTTTAAACAACAAGAGAAAAGGAGGCAGCTCGGATCCAAAGTGGCGCGGCGTGAGTCTGCACCCGGGCGTGCCACCATACCCCAAATGTTAACATTTGTAATGGGTGTACATCCCCAACAACGCCTGCCGGACCCTGATCTAGACGCCGTGTTGGTTTAGCGGATCTACCGGGTGACCGGTTTGAGGGGCGCTCACATACGACAGTTTGTCCCCCACGAGGAAAGGGCAC